GTTTCTATTCTTATGGTTTAGAAGATAATTATTTACCTAGCAATGCTATAGGAATTTGAATTCCTTACTACCTTGCAGTAACGTTTACGATGATGAAGTTAGAGACCCTAGTTATACAGAACGATTAAAAAAATCTTCCATTTAGTGGTATTTCTGTTTTCGAGGCTGGTAAGCGGATTGATGGCGACTAAACGCGGTTGCGGTGTTTACTGGAAATAATGTTTCAAGTAGTCTTTTACTTTTACTTTCCTCAAAAACCTGTATTTTTATTCACCTCAGTAACGAAAGACTCCCTTAAATCCCTCTTTAAAACTAACATTTTGACAGTATGTATGCTCTCTAAACCAGCTTAGATATAATCGTTAAGCATCAAGCTTTTGTAGAATAATCCTGCTGGAAACCATTTGCAGTATTTTATCTCATTCTTTGCGGATAGCCATAAAATGCACCTGATAGATGCAAGGGGAATTATTTTGCATACGTAAACACGGTTGTACCTACGAGATTATTATATAACGTGCGTATTACTACCCGTTCATACTTATTGTAAACACCCTCAGGTTCGGCTGATTACAACAGATCCTGAAGGAAAGGAATACTACTGGTGCAGTGGGACGCTGATTTCTCAAACTTTGATCGTCATCGCAGCTCATTGTTTTGCAGATAACGGCTGGGTTGTTGCTTCAGGATTTCCAACTACTCCAGAGGAATCCATTGGTACATCTCTTTATGCTTATTTCGGCAATCATCGCAGCAGCGCGGATCATGGAACTGCTAAGAAATACCTGATTAAAACGGTGTTTATTTATACCTACTATGACACTTTTAAAATATCTAAAGGATATGATTTGGCTTTACTGCAATTAGCAAAACCTGCAGATTTGAGTGAGTTTACATTTAGGACAATTAGCTAATTCGCGTTTTTTATTGTTTGGCTTCCTTTATTTTTCCGGAGAATCAGAAATGAGGTATTTATCATTAAAACCCAGTGTGGATATAAAAGTACGAAGTCAACCCTTAATTTTATTGCATTATATGAAGAAATGGCTAACGCGAGGCAAATAACCGTCGTCACTCTTTCGACTACATACACAGCTCTCCGAATCTACGGATGATAGTAGCCTTTATGGTGCGAATATGTTTAGAAGCTTCACTGAAATTAGTGTGTCATTGTATAGTTTATTAACACCGGGAATGTTACGTTTCTGCTGATTATGGTTCACAGGCGTTGTAACCATGAGCAGTTAAATATGTTTTCTTTGCATACTCTGTTCCCACTTGTAATGGACATTGGATGTCTTCTAAAGATTCTGATCATCACGTAGTAGGTAACACAATGCTAATTCCAGATAATGTAACCAAAAATAAAGTATTAGTTAGCATGTCGATGCGACTTGCAAGGTACCACGGAAAAACCGTACTGCCATGTTATGCGTTCAAGGTGGTACAAGTTGGGTTGTCCCGAAATCGGTTCACCCTCTGCCAGCTGTGGGAAAAGCTCTTTGTAAAAACGGGCACCTAAGCGCACGTGGTCTCCATTTGTGAGTAGTAGGATTTCATGCGCAAATTTTTCTCCTACTTCGCAAATGTACTTGAGTAGACCGAAACATATAGGCACAGCCGCTGCCTTTATCCATTCAAACTGACAGGAAAACCCTTATGCCGGGAAATTACGAATTTCATACAGGAGGTTCTGCTGGCAAATAATAACATGGCAAGAAGGAACAACATCTATATGGGACACTTAATGCACATATTTTGGGTATGCTCAAGTTCAAATTCAGGTAGGACTGGAAAGATAGGAGAATCTTGTGAAGGTTTTATCTTAACTAGATGGTTGAGCCAATATGTAAAGAAAATTTTAGCGTTCTTGATTGATCCAAAACGCAACACCAGTATCGCACCCTTGCCAAAAAGTTTATTAATATATGTTTCCTGCTCAAACAGTCCCTGCAGCGGCAGTAACGTAAAGTAAGAAAGGATAGGAAGAGAACTCAAAGGTACAAAATAAAGAGATGCACAATAAATAATAAAATAATATATATGCATGCCAAATAATAGCGATAAGAATATCAGGCGCTGTTAACAAACACTCCGGGAAAATGATGTTGAATTAAAAGGCAACAACAGTAAAAGTCACAGTTTAAAACAGTCAACGAATGTTATCACGGCCATGGATTACTGTTCACAAACTCCGTCTCTCTGTAAATATTAGGTTTCGGCCACCAAATTGTTGAAGCTTCAGCAAAACCTAGCAGGCGGCAATTGCTCTGTTGGATAATTATCCGGAACGATTGGCGGGGATTTAGACTAAGGTGGCAGTCTAGTACGTGCTGGGCAATTGAGCTTGCCTGCAACCTGAGATAGTTTGCGGTCATATTAGGAAGGCCGAACGGAGAAATGACGGTCAATTAGGATTTCAGAGTACCCTCCAAGTAAGGTAGTTGGTGAAGTACCAATTTTCACAAACGTTCTTTAAAATGGCTCCAAAAATCTGAACTTCCAATCATAAATGACTACGCTTTAGGATGTCTGTTTCGTTGTTGCAAACATGTTATTTGAATTGGCCTATTAAAATGTTAATATATATACCTTCTACCAAACCTCCTGATATGTTGCTAACCAACTCACTTAAGCATGGTTCATCAAGGCTTATATTGTGTAACGTAACTATGCTCTAACATATTTATGTTGCAGATAAGGAGCTTAACTACGCTTGCATAGCAACACAGACTATTGAATTTGAACACGGCACCGACTGCTACGCTGTTGGTTGGGGTCAGCTGCCAAGCAGCACTGAAAGTAACATGGAAATCCACGCATTCGACATCTCCCACGGTCCGTTCAACTCAGATGACTCAGACGCCGATAATGTGCTTTCGCCTAAATTCAACAAGTCGGAGCCAGTTGAACTTCAAGAGGTCGTTCTGCCAATAATGAGCGCAAGCAAATGCCTTAAGTACTACCCGTATCATCAAAAGGATTCTCAATTTTGTGCGGGTTGGAGGTTGAAGGTAAGCAAATTTCGACATGTTTTTTGCTAGGGTTGTTGTAATATTAAAATAACATCCTGATAACATAAGCGCTTGTGTCACCTCCCGTAGCTGGAAAGCGCATAGATTCCCTCATGGCAGTTAACGTATTATTTCCTGACATATATGAACTTGAGGTCCCATCACTGTTTTGAGCTAGTACATGGTGTACCTTGGAAACAAACTCTAATGACTGACTCAAGTTGTTCTTGTCGTTCCTGAGTGCGTAGTGAATGGCGCCATTTTCCAGTTAACTGCTAATTTTGACCGCTCAGGATTTCCTATCAAATGTCTGCAACTTTATCAGTCACAGCGTGTTTGATAGGAGCTTTTCAACCCGACTAACTGACAATAATTCATCCCGCAAACCTATTGATTCCAATAGGTTGTTGGCGGTCCATCTTTTCAAATTGATACTAAATATCTGGTCCTATTAAACAACTAGAGATTGTAAAAATTCTGATTTCTTAAGACAGAAAACACAAATCGGTAGAGGTCGTTTGATAAAACGATCATGCATCCAGTGCTAGGGTACGGCTCGCCGTATATTCTTCCTGTTACAGGATCCGAGATGCAAAGTATTAAGGGAGGACAGCATGTGGAAATGAGCCTCAGCATTGATGTTCGAGTTGTGCCGTACGAAGATAGTTAAAAAGCTTCAATTATACAACCCTCATGTCATGGAGTTTAGTTTGACCACACAAAGAATATGTCATCTGACGAGTACCCATTGTTGAAGCCAATGCACCGTAAACGCATGCCAATATTCACTATGATTATTAGATTTTATACGTAGAAGTTACAAGAGAGAGCTTCAAATGGGCAAGGAAATCATCAGATCCATTCATCTCTGTTATCATAAACCGTCGCATCTGTGTTATACACTTTAAAAAATAATTGCCAATTATCCGCGCATGGCTTTATTCCCTTTAGTGCATATATGTCGACAAGATTTTCGAAATTTGGCAGTATACCCAAAATATATATATCTCACTAGTATAATACGGCCTTTTTGGGATTAGCGGAAATTGCTGTTATAAAAACAAGCATTTAACTAATTTCAAGTTTAAGTTCGGATGGGACTAAAACGATAGGAGAATCCTGTGTGCGTTCCATCCTGAGTGGATCGTTGGGCTAAGGATTGACTTAGTGCTCAGAGTTCTTGATTGGTCCAAATCAAAAAACCGGTTCCGCACCCTGGCCAACCAGTTAATGCACACGCTTCCTGCCCTAGTAGTACTTAAAGTGGCAGTCATGTGAAGTAAGCAAGAGATAAGCAGAAAACTCGAAGGTAGAAAATAAGCAAGTGCACTTAAAAATACTAGCAATGTGAAATGTAGAGAATAGGCTGTGATTAACTGTTAACTACACAAGAGCCGTCATACTTCCCAAAGTACTAACGTTGGTGTGTTTACTTATTTTACTATATAAGCAATTAGGACCAGCAGAATCAATTGCAGATAATGTAAAGAAATATACAACTTATTATTATGAAATATTTTTTTAGCAACATTTTATCGGATTACTAGTGATTAATAAATCATCATTTTGAATGTCCTGTTTGTCCGATAAAGTAACAGGAGCTGAATAGCAGACTGCACTGTTCTGTGTAAACATTATATTTTTCTGTGCCTAGATTTGTGGAAGATAATACACAGCAACGCACAATAAACATAGGGGTTTTGCGCAAAATAACGTGTATTATGGCGGAACAAATACTATTAATGTTTCGGAAGTTCCAATAAACAAATAAAAAGGATAGATAGCAATTATACTCTTATGGTGTTAATTCTTTTCCTGAGTCCCATGAAAAATATGTTACGCAAGCACATTAGGTAAATTAGAGAACAATATTAGGTTTATTGACAACACAACGAAACCATGTGGATTATTTAATATCCAGTAGGAAACTCGTCATTTTCCAATTGCTAGCTATTAATTATTCCGCCTATGTCACTTTCCCTCTAGGATTCGTGTGAACGAGACTGTAGAAGTGGACTATATTGCAAGATCCCCTACACGAATAAGTGGCTGCTAGCGGGTGTGAGAAACTACGGCTCAGAAACTGAGTGCAAACCGGGTACTGGAATATACACTTCAACACTTAAAAGCAATGAATGGCTGTGGTCAACGATGAAGAGATGGGCTTCTTATATGTCGCTCCTGAATGGGTAGTGAATGGTGCCATTTTCCAGTTAACGGCTAATTTTACTTATTCAGGTTCTCCTTCCTAACGTCTGCTACTGTATTAGTAACCTGCATCCCGATGAAGAGTTTCATAACATCCAGTTGTTCTATTTACATAATAACACACCTTGGTTTATTCCCTTTGTAATTTCAAAATTGCATGAGTAATTTATATTTTATTACATATACCTTTGTTGTGAAACAACAAACCCCATTGAAAGATACAAACTTACACGAACCTCCTAAAGGTCATAAAGCGGTCATGGACCGTCTGTTTGCGCTTTGTGATGATTTTTGCTACTATTTCTGAAACGCATGTGAGTGCGAAATTTTTATGCAGCAGTTGGATAAATATTCACGACTACCGATCTATTCAGTAAATAAATTTGAAGCAGCAACGTGAACAAGCGCAGACGCCTAGAGCGTATTATTCTCACAAATAAGTGAACAATATGCTATAATGATTCGTAGGTAAAAAATGTTGCTGCTCAAGTCCTGTTCATGGTTAGTTTGCGAACAACAATTTCGGGAGATGTGCGGGTCATCTGCTTATATAGTCACCATAATAACATACACAAGAGAGAGTGTTTCTTAACTATTCACCAAAATGTTGGCGAAGCTAGGTATGTGCGGCGATGTTGTAGTTTCCGACAATTGTTATAAAAATGAATCGCTTAATAATGTCGTGTAGCCTTCCAGATAAAACCACCATATGCCACAATTGCTCTAAACAGTGTTTTAGTGCCCACAACACGTAGCCTGCTAGACAACGACAGTTTATTTTCATTGCCGAGTGCTTGCTCATGCATATTCAGTTTGGGAAAACCTTACATTAAACGCTTAAGTGTTATCAACTTTTATGGCCAAACTCTATGAGTGAATAAGTAAATGAAAGTTTTATTGCTTCTGCCGACCTTCAAAAGAAAAGTAACCATTTGAAATGTAGGAACATATTTAGTATAATATTTAGCATTGAGTATTTAGTGATTGATTGCGTGTAATTATCGATTCGATATTAACGACACTGCGCCATTGCTGCCATTGAAAACATTGCATTGACATGTTTGTTAACAAATCGAACTAGAAATAGCAGCGTTGGTTTAACGCAGCCTGGTAAGAAATCAGATGTCAAGTTAATTCAATTCATGTTAACCTGTATGTACAGGGATGAGTGCCTTTATAACACTTTGCAGCATTATCTGCGGATAAAGTTAAATGACGTCTTTAAGGATGCAACAGTTTGTATATGGAATAAAAAACAGAACATGGTGTAATAACGTCATAGGAGTAAAGGTCCGCACATCCTTGAGTCCTGAGAGCAAACTGAAAAATAGCATCATCCGGATATTTTCTAAGCGTCGGATAATAGATCGAGGCGACAATTTTCATGATTGGTTTTAGCTCGCCCAATGGTTATGGCAAAAAACAACAACTGGCTAAGTGTGAACTGTGTTCAAACAAAGAATTGAAGGTATGGAGAGTTAGACGGTGTTGGCGTAGTTGTAATTAACTTGGACAAAATGTTGTCAAGGTATTCTTACAATATTTATATATAAGCGGTGAAGGATGTAATAAGGATGTTTAATAAAAGGACAACGACGGAGTCATAGGCCTCGCTGGATAATCAAGTCCAGTTAACCAAGAGCCAATTTGTAGACCATTTTGGATATGCAGAGTAGGTGCCACTGGTCAGTGTTATTGACTGAAAGTTCAAATTCCTTAATACGATAAGTATTATCTTTCGTTGTTAGATCATGTTACTTTGGAAATATCTGCAGGCAAGTTAGTGAAATAAAAATAGACTGAGTAACTGTAAATGGATTTGCCGAAATTTTAACATAGACATTTTAATTAAGTAGAACAGGATTTTCACAAAATTCATTGCGTTGACATTTGATATATTAACCACCAAAGGTTGTTGTATCAGCAGGAGGCGTAGAATTGATAATATTGTTTAACTAGGTTTACCGCAATTAGAAGAAATCCGTTATAGCTTTACGGCTCGTTATATAGCGTTTCGCTTTAAAGGCCATGGGCATTATAGCAGTTTGTGTGTTCTTGGATGATATTCATCCATTTTTGCAATACATAATTGGAAATGCGTAATACCCTAAATGCACCAGTGCTTACGTCAAACGCAGTTGCTAAACTTACACGGACCTACTGTAGCAGATCACTTTGTAGACGAAGCAAGGTTAGTTTATGTTGTGATTCGGGCGCTCCATATGTAATCGCTTATTAGTTTTCACTAATGTTCACATAGACAGCAGAAACTACTTATTTGCAAACATTCAAACATAGATAGTTAAAAACCGGAACGATGCAGTCAGCGTAAATGTAAGTTAGTGAATCGACGATAATTACTGATGGGTTCGATACTTGTATGTTTCAGCACCAAGGCTGTTATATATAAAAAGCAAATACCGGTGTAGTAGCAAAGGTATCTGCGAGAGATTCAAAGATATTAGTAATTTTCTGTTCCTTACTGTGTACCAATATCAGTAGCCAAAGTGACTGAAAGTTTTGCATATTTTTGCGTAAAGGTAGGGATTTGATTATGAATCACCAGTATTAGATAAACGCGTGCGGCATAAGGCAACATGTATTGGAATTCGCAAATATGGATTGCTCTTTTGTTGGTAAGCAAATCAATATTTGTCGAGATCCCGCGAGCTGTAAAGGGTAAGTGTGATTGGACTCACTGTTGGGGTGAAGGTAGCAGCACTAGATGTTTGCCCTTTGGAATTCACCTAATTCCCCCAAATGATCATGTTTACAATTTAAACTGGAGAAAACCATACAACGTTTTTCTGACAGAAGAGCAAAAGTTATATGACATATGCATAGATACATTTGGGAGCTTCCCGGTATATGTTATATTTAGGTAGTGACAGGAAATGCAAGGCTTTCCTCGAATCCCCCTCTTATTGCAGGGCTAATATATACTAAACACTTGCCTTTCAATAAAAGAAATCCATTACTTTAACATGTTTGTTTTACCTTGCGTGGTGATATGATTCTTGAAAGCGGGTCGAGCAAACGGCTATACTGCCTCTGGCGGTCATGGCTTTGATCCCAGTGAGGGACCGAGTGAATGCGCAACACTGACGAACAGCTCTTAAGCGAAACTTTCTGGTGGTATTCCGGAAGTGGCTGTGATATGTAGGTTGGAGCTATTAAGACGAAGAACCGTAAAAGTCCTCGCATTTGTCAAGCAGTTAGTGTCATGCATTTAAAAAGTAAAATACATGATCCAGGTCATGTAGTTTTTCAGGGAAAGGAAAATGTATGGACTGGTCATAATTATGTTCCGTCCATCAGCTAAGAAAAGGTTTGCCGTATAGAGTTTTGTATTGTTTGGAGCGGTCACTATTTGAAATTTAATAGGTTACCTGTGATGCACGATATATAATGAACAATGAACAATGGTTTATCATTGGTAAAAGCATATGCTATGCAAGTTCCGTAGGATGGTTGGAGTAAAAGTTAACATTTATATGATCATCCAAAATGTAAGTTGTTATCTCAAGCGTCCACCGAGTTAAATGCACTAGTAGATAACAACAGATTGCAGGGGGAATGTGATGTGCACACGCAAAATATTGTGGAGAGCATTTGTAGTTGCGTAAACGTGTGAGAAATAAAAAAGGAAGTGGCAACGTTCACTCTTTTGTATCTCCAGATGACAAATGTGGCGTGCTAATCCATTTAGATTGCACCTAGCCTAATCACATTACCAATATACTCATCCCACGTTGAGGTGGGGGTTTTTAAGCAGATAGTTAGGTTAGCGTTTTTTTAAATCGTTATTGTACGGGCAAGGATAATTTCAGTCGGAAGCGCATTCCAGGCAAGGGCACACGGAGAAAGAGGACGTTGCGTCGACAACCAAATCGACTGTAGTGCATAGCCAGTTTGAGGTGATGGCCCCTCATGTTGGTATTTTGGCTCGGCTGCAACAGATTGCGACATGGTGCCTTTGGTTTGTTAGTATTAAGTAAAGCATGATTATGTCTTCTCGCTGACGTTCATGTGCACCACTGTACAATCGCAGGGAATGCAGGTTGCGTTGGTAGGAGAGATAAAACAACCCGCTAACGAGTTTGGTCGCTATACGTTGAGATGCTTCAAGTGCATCAAGGTCGCACTTGCTGCAGGGTTGCCAGGCCTGGAACACATATTCCATGTGACGCCTCACGTAGGCGTTCAACATTTTCGGAAACGTTGATGGCTCAGACTTACTGAAAGCCCTCCGTAAGAGTCCACACTGTTGAATGGCTCGTTCTGATGCCTTTTCAGCCTGTTTTATGCGACCGACGTTGCCCTGCACGAGCACTCCAAGGTCGTTTCGTTGAGAAACCCTTTGTAGCTGCTGAACTTCAAGTTGGTATACATAAATAGGTTGACGGCGTAGGCTTACTACTTTGCACTTGCTGACGTAAAACTGGAGCGGGTTATCGAATGACCATGCATAAGCCTTGTCGAGGTCGATCTGCAATGTCATGTGATAATCCTATATCCTGTTAGCATGCCAGGTTTTAATACCTTCTGCAAATAGCAATATATTCGCCTGTTGTAGACTGACAAGGTGGTTGATGAATTTTAACAATATAAGTGGCTCCAGTAACGTTCCTTGAGGCACGCCACACTGGACGTCAATTGGATCGGAAATGGAGCTGCGGGATCTCACATTCAGCTGACGTTGAGCAAGGATGTTGCCGAACCAACCGAGTATATGGTCACCGGTTCCACAGCCACGAGGCATGTAAAGGAGATTGCGGTGGTCCAAACTATCGAACGCTTTCGGGAATTCTATGTAGACAAACTCGACGCCCAACCTTGCATCTGCTGACTCTGTCCAGCGTGACCCGGATAGCAGCAAATTTGTAGTGCAGGATCGATTTCGGCGGAATGCGTATGGCTGTGAAACAAAGGTACTGTTGCTCTCATGATATCCCAAAAATGCCTCTGTAATTATACGTTCCGTT